ACGGAGCCTCACACTCCCTTCTCGTCAGTAGCCTCTGGACAATACTGTAAAATAGACATAAACAATCGTATTTATTAGAGTAAGAATAGAATATTTTGTGAGCCATTACAGTTGAAGTGTAGTGAAATAACCACAGCTAAAAATATGTATTACCATTAAATTTCTGTTAATGCAAGCTTTAAAATTTAAGTCAGGTGAGACGTAATTAGTCCAAGGACCCAGGATAAAATTACAATATGTGTAGCTTTTAAAATGTTTTATTTTTATATTACATCTTAATTAGACATGTCAGAGTTTTTGTGGAAAAGAAAAATAATTTATGATTCTTTTGATTGCCTTACTTTATTATGACTGAAATAATCTTTTATTAAAGGTTTTAATAAAGATAAATATTTTAGACATTAATACTAAAATCATTTTTACTTCACTTTCATGCATTGCATTCATGTGCATGGGTGTACACAATTAAGGACCTCAAGAATTATAAAGTTTAAGCAAATTATATGTAACTGAAATATGAAAATAAAATTCATGGAAATCAAATATATATGTAATTTATGTATCTTAGATATCCTTCCAATATATTTTATTTTGTGTGAGAGAACAACTTTAGCTGTCCAGCTAAGACAAAGTGTCATTTTATGAAGACGGTTTTTCTTTACCTTGCCCTAGTCTTTTCTCTGTCTCTTGCTTCTTTTCTGATGCCAGAGATACTCAATTGTTATATGAAGGGGGGAAAAAACGCTCTTTAAAATAGTTTTATTTGGAACACTTAAGCTAAGTACTACACTGGAAGTTATTGTATTAAATTAATTCATATTATTATTCAAGCCAGGTTTTCAGGGAAAACAAGTCTCTCTCTCTCTCTCTCTCTCTCTGTTTGTGTGTGTATGTGTATCACTTTGTAAATACAGTGATTTCTAAATATTTTTCATTCTTCATCAATATTTTAAAATAATTTTATTTCTAAACCACTTAGAAAATGGATGCATAACTAAAAATAGTCATTTAAAAAAAAATCTCTTCTTGCTACTACCGTTATTTGAACAAATAGAGCCTGTGTTAGGGAAGCAATATTCTGCCACTAACTATTTTCCTGTGTTAGGAATCTAAGCTCTCTGATTTCACCTTCCCAATCTGAAAGATAAAGTATCTTGGTTTAGGGGGCATATTAAATTAGGCAAAATAACAAACATGAAATATATATGTGTGTGTGTGTGTGTGTGTAAAAATATAAAATATATGTGTATTAATACAAATGTTCTTATATAGGTATAAGGTATCATTTTAAAATTTTTCCTTTGGCCTTCAAATAACTAATGACTCTTTTAATGTAAGTTCTGTGCTCTCATTATATCTTAACTAAGTCAAACCTCCAATAATCTCCACCGAAGATTTTTCTTTGTCCTATGACAATTTGGATTAAATTGTCAATTTAAAATGATTACACATTAGAAAATATGAAGACAAGAGATATCCTAATACTTAAGAATAATAGAATTTTAAAAAATTCTTTGATATTAAATTGAACTTAATAAGTGCCCTGAAGGTAAATGCATCTTTTAAACTAATTATCTGTACTGTGTATTCTATTTAATATTTAAAAGATACTGATTAAGTAAAATCAATCACATTTCTCTGTAGTCACACCTCACATTGGATTAAATAAAAATATACAGTTTCTGTATTAATTCTAATTAAAAATATATTACATTTAGAATCATGCACTCATGATAATTTTCAGAAAACTAAAACATTTTCTTTGCTCATCTTTGATATCTAAAAATTAAGTACAGGAGAGTAAAAAGAAGTAATATGATAGCTAAATTTATTTCCTAATAAGCTCCTACTTTTTTAAAGATCTAAGTACCATGGTTTGCTGATTGTAACAGAAATAAACTGATGAACATAAAAATTTAAAATATAACTCTGTCTATGCATATTGGTTGTAAATGAGCTGAGATGTATGTTGGTTTAGTCACTCTTGTTCTTGGAGTAAATTTTTAGTGTTTCTCTCAGAAGGCTGAGTGTTGTTGCATTATAAAATTCTCAGGGCTGGTGGCTTTCTCTCTTACATATTTAAAACTTCTAGCTCCAGCTGGATCATCAGTGTTGGTTAATCTGCTACTGCTTTTTTGTTTGTTTGTTTTTTAGAGAAGAAGCCACAAACCTCTGTTTCATTACCTTTTTCACTGTACCACCTCTGTGCCAACCTCACTTGTTCTCTATTGGTAGATCTCTCATATCCCTACTGCTCCGAGAAAGAGGAAGACTACACACATGTTATCCATAAATTACCAATTAATAGCAAAATGATAGCTAGGTTTCTATTTCATACCACAATGTCTTTTCTTTTTCTTTTTTTTTTTTTTTTTTTTTGATAATTTCAAATGGAGTGTTTATTATCCAGCATGGCATAGTCTTTGCCTTTGCAACATCAGATCTGTTTTACCCATGTGTATTATCTTCTTGGCTCCTGGGGGTTTCTGCATTTGAGATCCAAAAGAAACACATTTGGAAAAGTGCAATGCCTATCAATAACTGAAATATTGCTTTTTCAAAAAACCCTTGTTTTTCATTTATCTTTGATAGTTCCCTCTGTCTCTCTCCGTTCCTCTGTCCCAGCAGCCTAGAAACTTACCTCTATTTCTGTTTTAAAAGAGAGCTCTATCTCCATGAAAATAATACTCCTTTATTTCTCTCCCACCCACCTCCATGACTTCTGCCCCAAACTTCTAGCAATTTCATAGTTTCCACTGAGATAATGTACATATTTTTATTTCATTTTAGAAACATTTTTACACACTTTTAGACATTAAAGAATATAATGAAGGAGTAGAAAGAACTTTTTTCTCTCTTTATTACAAAATGTTCACAAACAAGAAATCCAGTGTATTTGCCACATATATTCAATAATTGCTATTATGTTGCCATAATTTTTTTATATATATTTTTCTAAGGACAGTTTTCTACTTAATGACATTATTCTTCTCTCAACTAAGAAAACTGACAACAATTCCATAATATCAGTCATTATCTTGTCCATATTCAAATGTCTACAGTTATCCCAAAAATGCTTTCTGTTGCCTTTATTTATTTACTTTTTGGGGGTGGTAAAAGTGAAAGTGGACCAGGAGCTATCTGAAGCTCTTGCGTTGCATTTGATTGCTATTCTGAACCATTTAGACAGCCATAATCTTTTCACTTGGCTGTCCAATGCCTGCTCTCTGCAAATGTATGCATTGTAAGCATACTTTCTTCTAAGGTAAAAGGCATCTCTGACTCATGCTCTGGAGGCTGCTTGAAGTCTCTTATTTTGGTTGCTTCATAGTCTCTGAGAGTTTCCTGGGTACATGGCACAGAATAGGATAAGGATCTATAGGATAACATTCTTGATCTGAATTTGAGAAAGAGCAAACTTGTATATATTATGACAAAGATGGAAGAATTACATTCATGTCTTGCAATGTTTATTCAGACCTTAAGTTTCAATCTGAAGCTAAGAAAGAAAGAAAGATAATAAGGTTAGCAAATATCTTCGAATTAACCAAGAGAGAAACTAGCACAAACATTCATTGTCCCTCGTGTTCTGTAGACTGATTTGGACTCAGAAGTCAAGAATGTTCCTGAAATCGGAAAGCTTTCAGTAAAGGCTCTACCAAACCTCTGGTCAATTTATCTTCAAAACAACAGCGGTTACTTCCATTAGATTCTCCTGTGGAATGGAAGAGCTGACCAGCGCTCATACTCTTCCACCTCATGACTTCTTTTGACTGGAAATCTGTACCTACAGTACTTTCTGCTTATATTATGGCAACATTTTCCAGATAGAGCTGTATTCCTGAACACTTTAATTTTCTGCGAGGCTGTGCTGGACAACTTCTTGTCCTTCTGTATCACTTTTGAGTGCATTGAATTCCTTTAGTCTGCACAGCTGTGAGGGTGTCAGGTTTTACCTGTCTCAGATACAGCTATTTTGTTGTTTTTAATCATTCTTGCTGCCTTTCTAAAGTTCTGCTGGCTAAGGGAGTATAATAATATCTGGACTCTCAGATTTTTCATACCCGTCTCGGTGATCTAGCATTGGCCAGACCGTCCCTCATATAACTTGGATCTGGGGAGGAAAAGGGAATATACTGACTACTTCTTTCTTTGCAGGGACACACAAATATCTAAGAACTCCTGGCTTCCCATCCAACTCTTCTTCTGCTGTTCTAGCATGGGAAAACTTTATCTAGTTTTGTGTGTGTTGTTTGTCAACTATTTATCCAAATTTGTATTTTATGTTCTTACTTCCATAGAATGCAGGCTTTTGGAGTTCAGTGACATTTTATCTGTTTCTTATAACAAAACTAAGCAAAAGAGAACCTTTCCAATGTGAACTACGAAGTGGGAGGTGGTGGTAGATAACGGAAAATACAGTTGTGAAGAGTAAAGTCAATGTATTTAATCCTATCTTTAAAAATTACTCTCACGTAAAATCTTGCTACTTATTTAATTATACTTTTTATTCTTTTACTAATATTAATGGAATATGTTTTCTTATTTCCAGAGTATCATGAAATAAAATGAACAACATAAGCTATGTCTACGTTCAAAAGACACAGTATTTTTAGGAAGGAATGAGATTTGGACTTCAAAATGAAAAGTGGGATGGGCAAAGGGCAAGTTAAAAATTTAATGGAAATTGTTAATAAAAGAGAATGGAACTTGGAGATACAGCTGGCCAAAGAGGTTGATCAGCATGCCTTGGGTAGATGAAGTTGTGTTTTGGATAAATAATTTCACAACCTAACCCACTCTGTGTTCGAGGTTTTCTTATTCATTGAAAAGATATTTATTATTTTAATTCAAGGAAGCAGTACAATTATACCAAGGAAATGTATTTTTAATTTACTAATTTATTTCACAGCCATATAATGATATGCGAAACGTCATTGATAATTTGTTTTGAGTTTGACTCTTTTTCAGCTTTAATATGAACTTCTCTTTTTCAGCAGACTCTGCCCACTTCAGGAGTTTCAGTTCCTGAGGTGCGTAAGCAAAAACAGGTTTTCACACTTAAAATTATAGGTCATTATACATCTTGCATTGCTGTAAAGAACATTTTGTGCTGGCTCAGTGACATTTGAATACCAGCATTTTATATTTTATTTTTTTCATATTCCACTAATTAGAAGTAAGGATTTTCATGTTTTCAGTGATGGAATAGACTTTAAGAATTTTCAGTCTATAGGAAAGCAAGTAGTTATGTGACCTAGGGTTCACAGAGAAAAATAAAGGTTACTTTGCAAAAAGTTTTTACCAGCTTAGGAAAATAGGGTTATGTCCATTTTTTTTCACATTAAGATGTAGATAAGTTGCAGGAAATCTAAAACAATTTATTCTTTGAGTCATTGAAATGTGGGTTTCAATGGCAGTAACTTAGAGACTCTTGCTTACTTTGCAGTGCCCATCACTTTTAAAAGAATACAACTACATTAATCACCTGTCCCATGCCATTGTATAGGAAGACATCAGAATAAAATATAGTCACAGAATAAATGGATTTTATTTTGAAAATAAAATGAAGCATTGCCACAACAATTATTTTCAGTAACATTTTTGCTTTACCTTTGCATTGATGAAGCAAAACCTCCACATCGTTCTGTGACAATATACTATTCAATTGTTATTATCTCTATAGGAAATGCCCAAATTGCACTGGTTTCCTTAAAATTGTAATTTAAATCTGCTTATTTTAAAAAGTATTACTTATAATATATGAATGCTACATAAGATTATGAATTTATTTAGCAGTTAACATGATTGCATGAAAGTGTAATAACTGCTATTTTCTCCCCACCAAAAATGGCTTTTTAATCAGTGTAGACCCCTTTGTTAAAATTTTTTTTAAAGTTCTCATTTTTAGCCAAAGAGATACTTAAAAATACTTGGAGATATACTTAAATATAAGGTTTCTAATCTTAGAAAATGTTAAACTGATTTTATATTCTTTGAGTGAATTGATGCTGTTATGTTAATTATTATTATAAAATATAGATGCTAAATTATATATTCAAGTGACAAAAGTATTAGGACAGTTTACTATTGCATTGAATTATTTCATTTCGAGACCATTAATTTTACATCTTCAGGTTCTTGAGTTTGTTTCTGTCCTTAACATCAGCCCAATTAAGTGAATATAGGATCCTTGATTTGAGATGTAAAGTTTTCCTTTTACATCTGATAATCTCCAAAATGTCCCCCTGTATTCAATTATATAATTCATATCATATGGTTTTAGTAAATAGATCTAAATTTTTTAATATATTTTTTTAATTTTTAGGAAAAATGTCTTTATTTTGATATGAAGTGTTTAAAAGTCTTCCTATACTTATTTTTTTCTGGCACAATATATTGGTTTACATTAACTTAAACTTTACAGTATCCCTCAAAGTCATTATAGAAGATTTTTCAACTTTGTTGTTCCAAAAATTTCCTTAAGCCCATGCATGGATATATGCATGGCTGAGTGTGTGAATACACATATATACACACAGAGAGACAAGAAACCTTATGTTCTACCATCAGGAACAGTTGCTCCTTGGTTAACGGAAAATGTGGTTAAAGTATATGTGGGGGAACATATAGAAAGATATATACATACATTAAATGTTTAACTTAAAATATGTGAATTTATATTCATTGGCTATATTTTTGAGGATTAGGGGCTTTTCTATGAGGACAGATCTTCTAATTGGAAATGGTGTCTTGCCTTTCTTGCATGTATCACAAGCTTATCACCTATAATAGCTTCAATTCTTTTCAAGTCTAACAAAATCTCAAGAACATCTGTGAAGCAATTTGAGTGTAAAAATACTCGCCATTTTTATTAAAATAATAATACCGAAAGCTTTCACAGTTGTTTTCTCTAAACTTAATTTGACCGCTCCTCATACACACCACACACACACACACACACACACACACACACACACACACACACAGCTTGTGTTATTTTGTCTTTCTAAAGCTTGCAAGTTATTTTTTATAGAGACGACTCTTTCATTTTGTATTCAAAATTCAATGATTCGAGTAATAATGACATTACACAGTTAATAATTAGAGATGGGTTTTCACCCTGTTGGCCAGGCTGGTCTCAAACTCCTGACCTCGTGATCCGCCCACCTCAGCCTCCTAAACTGCTGATATTACAAGCATGAGCCACCATACCTGGCCCAAAGTCTGTTTTTATATATAAATTATATGCATATGTATATGTGTATGTATACTGTATACATAACACACACACACACACACACACACACACACACACACACACAAACATACAGACATTGTTTTATAATGGTGCTGCCATATGCTAGCACATAGCCAAAATTGAATTATTTTGTCATAGACCCTCTCTTTCCTACATTTCATTCCCTCCAATAAGGATTTTCTTAACAGAAGTCTTGTAAGTGGTTTATACCCAGGATAAAATTATCCTAGGAGCAAATACGAACTTCATGTCTCATGTGTGAAAACCGGGACTTGTAGATCAAGTCACAAAGTGCACCTTCAAGTTTAGGAAGCGACTAATAACAACCCAGCTACTTTAAGACCAGTTGTCATTTTGTCTGCTTTGTTGCCTCCTGTTTCCCCCAAAGACACCACCCAGATCACCACAGCAATTATTCTCAGCTATGGTGACTTAGTGGGTAAATAAAGTATAGGATGTTAAACAAAGCACTTCTTTACAACACATGCTTTTTACTATTGTGACCAAGCAGCTTACCTGTGACTAAATAATAGAATATGTCAAAATTCTTTATCTATACTTTAAAATCATTACTGTTTACTGAGTGCCTGTTTTATGTTAGTACTTTTATCTAAATTTTTTTCCTTTTTTTTTAACATGAATTTTCCAATTTATAGTTAAAATTAGTGGTAACATAACAGTGGTAAATAATTTGCCCAAGCTTAACTAGAAATAAAAGACAGAGATGTGATTCGGCTTCTAAGCTCATACTTTTACCTTTACCCAAAGTTGTTTTTGCTTTTTAAAAATTACTCACTTAACTAAGTTTAAAAGAAATAAAAATCTTTAGACCTTACATCATTTATTATATGTGTTTAAAACTTTGAAAAAAAATCAAGACTTTCTCTAGCCACCAAATGGTTTTACTGCAAATTCCACAGATTACTAGTAGATTCAGAGCCTTTGCCATTTTTGAAATGAATTTGTTTTTTTCAGCCAGTAAAATGTTCAAATTCCACGTTAAGTCCATACTGATTAAAGGTGCGGCTTTGCAGTTTGTTAGTAAGTTGGTGTCTCAGACTGCATTTTTGTAAGCCCCACTGGGGCTGTGGTAACATTTCTGCATCAGAGAGATCTTAAATGCTGTGAATCTCCATGTGATACCTTGGGTTAAAACTCTACAGTCTCTGGAAAATTCATGTGGCCTAGCTCCAGTGGCAGAAAGTCTCCATTCAGGCAAGTTGTGCAGGAGTAGTGGGAAAGTAAGCTCTAGGATTCAAGCGAAGCTGTTGGCAGCAAAGCACTCGCCTTTGTAGCTTTGTACCAGTGGAGGTGCTTTGCTGCTGCCAGTTTCTCATGCTGAGATTGGACAAAAAGAAGAAAACCCTGTTCTTGAGGTAATCATCACTTGCTGCTTGCAGTTTGCCAGTGATCAATAACAGCAGGCATAAGTATTGTGGTAAACAACCCTTTTGTGAAAGCCGTTTTCACCAATGTACAAATACTCTACCTCTGAGAATCAGCATGACGTAGACAAAGATTTTTTTTTAGAGCATGTATTTAAAGTGAGGCCTTTTTATTTTATTTAGTTCATCTTTCTATTTACTGTGAATGGTCTTTTTGGCTTTTCTTCTCTGTTGATTATGATGATTATTCTTTTGGAATTCTAATACAATATATTCCCCCGTTAAGATCTGTTGTGCTACTGGTGGAGTCTCTGGATCACAAAACACTGAATTCAACATTTAAAATGTCTACGTAGCAAACACAAATGCTTGATATTTGAAAATGCTCAAATATCAATAACTGTATATTATATTTTGTAGTTATATGTTCTGTATTCTTTCATGACTTTTTTTAAGTTAGAGTAGCTCTTTTCAGTGTTTGAATAATTTCTATTGATTAAAGCAATAATTTTCTGACTCTTTGTATATCTAAGATAATTTATCTGGCAGAAGGAAATTTGCCTTAATTATAACAATGTCATTTATTTTGTGATTTAGAGCCCAAAACTTAAAGAAAGAAACTGAAGGTTAAATGGCAAACACTGTCCCCTGTTATCAGAGAGTAATTTTATTCTTAATGATTGTGCAAACTAAAATTGGTGAGCTCTTTCAGAAACTTTTCAGTAATTTCAACATTGGTAACTAACTCTCATAAATATCATAATAGAGCTCTGCCAGTCAGGGTCAGTTTACCTCCCAAAACAGCTAGTGAAACCTGGAGGACAGCAAATTTTTCAAGGATGCATTTGTCTTCCCTTCGTGTCCCTCATATTAAAAGGAAAGACAATTTTCTCATTGGATATAGAAGAATGTATTCAACTACCCTCCTGTTAACTTGTGCTGCTTAAATAAAATATAATGAGTAACTCAGAGTGACTTCTATGTAAGTTGAAAATAAAGTGAAACAAATGAGCATTTTATATATATATGTATGTTTTTTTTGTTTTTGTTTTTGTTTTTGTTTTTGTTTTTGAGACAGAATCTCGCTGTGTCACCCAGGCTGGAGTGCTGTGGCATGATCTTGTCTCACTGCAACCTTCACCCCCCAGACTCAAGTGATCCTCCCACTTCAGCCTCCAGAGTAGCTGGGACCATAGGCATCTTACCAACACACTCAACTTAAAAAAAAATATTTTTAGTAGAGACAAGGTCTCACCATGTTGCCCAGGTTGATCTTGAACTCCTTAGCTCAAGTGATCCACCTGCTTCAGCCTCCTGAAGTTCTGGGATTACAGGCATGAACCATCGCACTCAGCCTGTTTTTATTATTTCTGATTGCTTACTCTAAAGCAATTGTTTAGTCTCCTACCCAGCTTACTTAGGGGGATACTGCTTAGAGGGACATGAAGCCATTTAATCAACTGCTATCTCTGCCAGTTGGAGGTTCTTAGCACACAAGAATTTCCTTAGCTGTATGAGTGGCCAAGATTAAAATAATGTTAGTAGATAGCTTGCTTGGTAGCTCTTTAAAGACATATACTTGTGTGTCTTAAATTTCCATTAACACACAAATTATATAATTGGTTGCAAATTCCCAGTTCCATTGTAACTAACCAATATTTTTTTACTTTTTTTTTTTTTTTTTTGAGATGGAGTCTCACTCTGTTGCCCAGGCTGGAGTGCAATGGCTCTGTCTGAGCTCACTGCAACCTCCGCCTACTGGGTTCAAGTGATTCTCCTACCTCAGCTTCCTGAGTAGCTGGGATTACAGGCATATGCCACCATGCCTGGCTAATTTTTGTATTTTTAGTAGAGACGGGGTTTCACCATGTTGGTCAGACCGGTCTCAATCTCCTGATCTTGAGATCTGCCCGCCTTGGCCTCCCAAAGTGCTGGGATTAAAGGCATGAGCCACCGCACCCGGCTGTGACTAACCAAATTAAATTTTATTTAATTATTCTAATGTAAGCATTTAATAATTTAAATGCTAAATAACAATTGTTGGGTAATTTGGAAGAATAACTGTATTAAGGTATATCACATTGCATATTTTTACAAAATACTGCTTCTGTTTTGTATATGTGGATGCAAGAACCCTGGAGTAAATTATTTCCACACTTGTCAATAGCATTATGTTTTTGAACAGCTAGCACAAGCTATGCGTTTTCAAATATAAGCATAGAACCTTTCAAATTTAAATATATGCCTAATATAACTACAGAATTTTTTTTCATATACACACAGATTTGGAAATATAAAAACACTTTGTATAATGGCAATGTTGATGAGCACTCAAATAGGCAACCACAACTATTTTACATCATTCATAGTAATTTTTATATTGAATACATGCTTCAAGGTAGACACAATATTAAGGACTATACGTTTTCTATTAACCCTAAACAACTCTGAGGAACAGGTATCACTACCTACATTTTGCAAAAGCATAAACCCTCTAGGTTACATGATCCTAAAAGTAGTAGAGAGATGAAATTCATCTCGGGAGTTCTGATTCCAAACCTTATCTAATAATTCACTCCTCTTATACATTATGCCATTTAACTATCTAGGAACAAAATTCTAATTTGCAAACTTAGAACTTTCTTTTAAAAATCAATATTTTACCAGAAATTATGCTTGTATGAAAGCACATCATTTTCTAAAGAACTTAAATTTCAGGAATCCTATTATGCCATCCATTTTCAGCAACACACAAAATATATTCAGTGTTTTTGCACCATGGAATTGCAAGGTAAATGGACTATACTGATTAGCCTTTATTTTAGTCAGAGATGATTTTTGATTTATCTAGCCCTTATATATTTAAAAATAGTTTTACTTTCAAAGCTATTTAAAAATATATTTCTAGGAATAAATTGAAAGCTTGATGGCAGAGAAGGATGACTACACTTAAAAAATGTGTTGTACTTGGGCAATGATTACTCTAAATACCCGAACTTGATCATTAAGCATTATATAAATGTAAAAAATTTCTCAGTTACCCCATACATTTGCACAAATAAAAACCTATCTTTCTAAATTACAGAAATTGAAATGATATTTTTACAAACAAATATAAAAACCTACGAAATATATATAGTTGAGTAAGTGATAGGAAATGTGTGGCACGAAAGCACTTAAGTAACCATGTCAGACATTGCCAGTCAATTAGGACAGGTTTTCTCATCAACCCTGGATCTGCAAGAATCCTTCTCAACCGTATGTTTCAAGAACTTAAAAAACGTTTTAAAAAATGTTTTCATTTATTTCTTCATTCATTTATCTTGACATTTGTTAGTCATGATTTAGGGTTTGATATAGACCAGTGAAACATAGCAAGTCCATTTTTCTTATGGAACTTTGATTAATATGAAAGAATGAAGGCAATTAAACAAATCAAATAATATTTCAGGTTGTAATAATTGATATTTTAAAAGGAGGCTAAAGGGACTAGAGAATCTTGTGTGACATTTGACCACGTCATGAAGTGAAAACCCAGGCCAACAAATATGCAGTGGCATGTTTTCCAGCAGAGTGCAGAATGATTGCAAAAGCTCTGAATTAAAAGCATGATTGTTATGATCAAGGAACAATGAAGAGGCCAGTGCAGCTGGAGTAGAGTAAAAAATGGAATGAGTTTGGCTTTTGTGCAGAGACTTTGGTATAGGGAGACAGATTATGGAAGTAGATTGATTCATTAGGTGATAGTTACAATAATCCAAGCCAAAAAAGATAATAGTTGTTTAACCCATGTAATGAGGCAGGTGGTGAATAGTCATTCAGTTTGAGAGTAGGCAGGAAATTTTTAGAGAAACTAATTTTGGACATTGTACAATTAAGTGTTTCAGACTTTAGTGTGGAGATACAGAAACAGTGTGTGTATATAGGAATTAAGGCTCAGTTACAAATCAGAACTAGAATTATACATTTAGAAGTCTTCATAAAAATGAAATTGAAAGCTATGGGAATGAATGAAGTTACCTGGGGAGTGAGTATAGATAGAGAAGATGAGAAGTCTAAGGAAAAGGCCGAATCTTACAGGTTGTGAAGCTGGAGAAGCGATAGGCAAAAGAGACTATGAGGGAGACGTTGTAAAGGAAGAAGAGAGCTCAGAGAAAAAAGTGTCCTAGAAGCCATGTGAAGCAAGTTTTCAAAAAAGGAGTGATGAATTCTATCAGATGCTGCTGAAAGTTTTGAGAAGATGAAGACCATTAGAGTTGACACTGAGATGGTTTTCAGTGATTTTAATAAAAGATAGTTTGGTGGTATAATGGTGATAAAAATTGATTGGGTTGTTTTAAGAGAGAGCCAGAAGAGAGGAAATAGAAACAGGGAGCAGGCAACTACTAAAATAAATTGTCCAGTATCAGGAACAAAGGAATTAGCTGAGACGGAATATCAGTTTTAAGCTATATGCTATCTCTGATATAAACAATAGCTTAAAAGTCCATCATGCAATTAAAATTCATTTTCAATACTGCATGTATTTGTAAGCTTTTCTTAGTACTCAATACCACATTCTTAACATTATAATTCTATACCCTTTATCTGTATTATTGCATATGAAATAATCAACTTTAGTGATCCTTAATAACTTTTGATAAAGAGTCATAATTGGGCACATAGGGATAATACAATTTGGTATTTTTTCTCATTATTTCTTTAAATGATGTTTCGATCATGAAGCTATCATATATATTTTGAGCCAGTTGAAAACAATAGCTTTCATATTATTCACTAGGAACTTCAAATTAGAAAGTTGGGCCTTAGTTTGTAACCATGAAACTCTTCTATTAGTAAAACAACTTAACATTTTAATATGTTATTTTCCTAATTTTTATTTTTATTAAAGGTTGTTGTTTTCTTTTAAACAGGACAGACAATCAACAGTGAAGAAGGAAAAGAGTAGTTCCCAGCAGCCAAACAAAGTGATCGACAAGAACAAAATGCAGAGAGCCAACTCTGTTACCGTGGATGGACAAGGCCTGCAGGTATGATTTTTTAAGTAGAAATTTTAGTAGGTTTCATATTTGTTACTTCTAGGCTCTCAAAGGGGCATATGTTCAGCTATCAACACATTTGTTTAATGTGCATATTAGCTTAGTAGACTCCTTTAGAAATATCTTTATTAATTTATCAAAATGTCAGTCTTATGGTTGATTGACAGTAACATTCTGGTTAGATTAATCATTTATGATTTTATCTCCATTTAAACTCAAATTGGCAAGAGATCTTTTGAAAGATTTGCCAATTATTGCTAAACATACACACTTATTAGATACATATGTGTTATTTACAGGTATACGTCATCTTTATATATATACACTTAGTTTGGGTATGATTTGAAGAGTCATTTTGATAGCAGGAAAAGTCTTTAGGAGAGAAGAAAATAAACTCTGTATGAGTATATTTATTTCTGAAAAATTATAATAAATAATTTATTATATTTCTATCTTTCAAAATTTTAAGTCAAAATGTAAACTCCAATATATTTCTAGTTTAAATAAACACAGTCATTTTTTAATACTATCATTTAAAAACCTATAAATTATCCTTATGGTCTCTGGCATCAAGAATAACATTTTAAGACATTGTATAGTATGAATGCATGACATTTACTTACCTCTGTTTTTTTAACTGTATATCTTACTTCAACAGGAAAATGGTCAGTAAAGTTGGCTTAATTTTTAACATCATGGACTTAAGTATGTTTTTCTACTTACGTTTTGCCTTCCAACTGTCTGTGCTTCAAGTTTTACATTCTCTGGGAATATTTACCAACAATTTAACACACAGAAATTATGTCACATACTTGCATTCAATATATTTGATTTTCTGTCATTTTTAATGTATTATTTTATTTCTGATACTATAGATTATGTCTTTTGTATTTTTCAATAGGCAAACACAGTTCAGGTTACATAGTAGATCCCTAAATGCTTGCTTCTTCATGGTCATGAATACTTCATTGAAAATTTAATAATACTTTACTAAATATTAATAACTGTTACTGTTTGTTTTTTATCTAAAAATATGTTATGAATAGAAAATTATTCATACATTATGAAACTCAAATATAAAAAAGAAAATTCTGGGGCTGGGTGCGATGGCTTACGCCTATAATCCCAGCACTTTGGGAGGCTGAGGTGGGTGGATCATGAGGTCAAGAGATCGAGACCATCCTGATCAACATGGTGAAACCCCATCTTTACTAAAAATACAAAAAATTAGCTGGGCATGGTGGCACGTGCCTGTGGTCCCAGCTACTCAGGAGGCTGAGACAGGAGAATTGCTTGAACCCAGGAGGCGGAGGTTGCGGTGAGCCGAGATCACACCATTGCACTCCAGCCTGGGTAACAAGAGTGAAACTTTGTCTCAAAAAAAAAAAAAAAAAAAAGAAAAGAAAAAAGAAAATTCTGAATGACAAAATTATGATATGTTAGAAAATATAAAATTTGAAATTTGATTATAAAAAGAGTAAACCAGGATATACATTTTGGGAGTCATATCTATATGTTTAGAAATTTTGTAGAAGGTATCAAATATGAAATCTATGCTTAATTTTAGTAGCAAAAAATCATAATGATCCTATAAAATTTGTATTGAAACAAATCAACATTTCAATTCAACATGTGGATGGCTATTATTGATAAGTTTAAATCTCAAGCTATTCTGGGTTCTTGCAATAAAATTAATTAAAGGGAAGCCTAATTCTGAAGTCTAATTGTATTTCACTTGTGACTAGGCCCATATGTGTCATCACAGAAGAGAGGCATATATCATTCGTTACGTAGTATAGCTTAAGCATTATGATAGTAATTTATACATATTAACTTGTTTAATTCTCTCAATAAACATATGATATTAATACCATTATTTTATCATCATTTTCAAAACCATAGCTCAGATGTAAGATAACTTCCCCAAGAACACCGTCAGTGGTAAAGCCAAGGTCTGGATAAAGACCATCTGACTCAGTTTATGTTTCACTCCCAAGACACCTTGTCTCTTTGCTTAAAAAATTTTAACATGTATGTAACTGTTACATTTCTGACCATCTTGTTCTTCTATGTACTTTTATATTGTTGCAGGCTTTGAGATAAAATTCATGTATGCAACAGAGTTTTAACTTCTCTAATCTCAGTTTTCTAAGACTTTGATAATCATATCTGAATTTTCCCAGACTTCAAAACCAAAATTATATAATATATGCAGTGCTTTAAAGGTTTTAAGCTTATAAAATAACATGTTTCATTTTATTTTCTATTTTAAAATAATCTGAAATATTTGAACTTATTACAGCTAAGTTAGTTGTATTAAAAATCTTAGATTATTAACATTCTTTGTAGATATTTTTAACTTCGCTAACCAGATAATAACTTTTTATAACTTTCTTTGGCATATAAAAGTGTCAGCTAAAGTTGTTAGTGGGAAAAGTATAGAAATCAGACCTAATAAAACTTTAGTAAAAATAAATGCTATATGTGTAGTAGTATTCTTTGAATTAAAAAAAGAAACATAATCATGTGCAAAAGTCTGTTGTACCTCAGAAGAAAGGACAAAATAGAATACACATATATAGTAGCATAGTTTTGGAGGAAAAATTAAAAGAATAAGGTACTGGATAGCTATTATATGCAAAATGAAATAAATGGTAATTTTGTATTATATTTATGAATTTTAAAATACTAAAATGTTTGATTTTGATCAAGAAAGGTAAAAAGATCTACCATGAAATTAATTTTTGTATGAGCTTTAAAAAATATGTATCATTAAAAAGCATTGAGTTGCAGCCCAGTTTGCATATAACTCAGTGACAGTAGAGATCTACACTGCTTAAAGAAGACTATTAATCATAGTTAAGCACATTCATCTTATTTCTTTCCAGCTAACCAGCATAATGATCAGGATTATTATTTCTAATTAGAGGAAGTAATAGATCATGTATAACCTTAGGATGAGTCTCATTAATTAACCCAAGTCCTAGGGGACTTCAAATAGAGGTGGTTAGGCACTCTGTCTTTGTCATCACTCACACCATACGTTTACATTTAATACATATGATCAACTGTAATTGAAACTACGATTTCTTAACATGCAAGAGATAGAAAATTACAGATGGCTCTCTCACATGTGAACAAATAAGGAGAAAACAGAACAGTTGTTTAAACTGTATTATGTTGAAGTTACCTTGTTCCTAAATATTCTTTGAGAAACATTTCCAAATAGAAGAGTCATTTAAGAACTAACAAATCTAGTTTCTCATACTTTTAGCACAAGAAAGAAAGGAGGACCCTTATGGTTAAATAGCTAAAACTGAACCAGTGTCTTTTCTCACAAAACTGCCTCTTTATGTTCTCTTCCTTATTTATAATATCTTATTCTTGTAATCACCAAGACTATAAACCATACATACACATACTAAATGTAACTGTATAGTCTATATATGTATGTTAAATTATCTCTATATGATTAATTCACTTTCTTTGATGTATGTGTGTGCATGTCCTTTGTTCACCTTAGAATTCTCAACCCTGTTGACTCATTCATAATTAGCCCTTCATTGACATTCTAACTCTCTGTCTAAATCCATAATTATTACTCTACTTTTGAGCATTACAGCAACCTTTAAACTGAGTTTCTCCATATACCTAAAATTGTAGATAATAAATGATGTAGAAAAAAATAGAATTGAGTAAGATAAGAAGTATCAGGGCTGAGAGTTGGAATCATCTATAATTTTAAGTACAATGGCGAGATTAGGCCTCACTAATAAAGTGATATTTGGGTAAGGACTTAAAAGAGATGAAGCAGTTGGCCATTTAGATATGTGGGGAATGGACAGCCCTAAGGTAAGCATATGCTTGGAAAGTTCTATGGTCAAAAAGAACTATAGTTGGAGGAGGGTGGGCAAGATGGAAAGTGGTAGCAAGTAGTTCATAGAAGTAACAGGGGCTAGATCTTATAAAGCCTTGAAGCCTTCAGTAAAGATTGACTTTTTTTTTTTTTTTTTTTTTTTTTTGAGACGGAGTTTCGCTCTTGTTACCCAGGCTGGAGTGCAATGGCGCGATCTCGGCTCACCGCAACCTCCGCCTCCTGGGTTCAGGCAATTCTCCTGCCTCAGCCTCCCGAGTAGCTGGGATGACAGGCACGCACCACCATGCCCAGCTAATTTTTTTGTATTTTTAGTAGAGACGGGGTTTCACCATGTTGACCATGGTTGGTCTCGATCTCTCGACCTCGTGATCCACCCGCCTTGGCCTCCCAAAGTGCTGGGATTACAGGCTTGAGCCACCGCGCCCGGCCCAAGATTGACTTTTGATCTGAGTGTGATGAGAAGATACTGGTGGGAGGGATAAGCAGAAGAGTGACATGACTTGAATTATATTTTAAAATGCTTACTCTTACAAAGATTAGATTGTTTGGGAGCCGAGAGTCCAGTAGATTAGTATTGAAGTTATTCAAGGGTTATAGGATGTAGGCTTATTAGGATGGAGAAGTGGAGGTAGAAAGATGTGATGGAATTCTACATATATTTTGAGAAAAGGGTCAAAGGGATATGCTGATGAATTGACTACAGGGTTTAGGAGAAAAGTGAGGAGTCAGGAACTTCTCCAAGATATTAATAGTTTGGTCCATGCAACTGAAATGATGCAGTTGCCATTGACTGAGATAAGAAAGTGTCTGTATGAATGTTAGAGGGAAACTTGTATTGCTGTTAGAAATCCAAATAAAAATATCAAGTAGGCAGACCAATAGATGAACCTAGAATTTAGAAGAAAGGACAGACATGAATTTGGAAGTGAAAGGCTCTGATGAAAGCCATCAGATAAGATGAAATCATTAAAGGACAGGGTATGTAAATAGAAGTAGTTGAACTGGGTTCTGAAACCAGTCTAATTCCAAAAACATGCTCTTTAAATGTACTATTTTTAACTGCCCCTTTATGTGAATAAATAAGATTTTACATGATGAACTCTAATCAGTATTGTAGAGAATCCAGTGTGAACAGTCTCCTGGAATACCCTGCACACCAAATTTATAACCATTCTTCAAAATTTCAGCTACCACAGATGCCGTAGAAATCTTTCTTAAAAAGTTGTTCTCTCCATCAGTATTTTTTGTTATACCTTATTACTGTATCTCACTTACTATGTAACTATTTTGAAAAGACATAGGGTTCTCTAGAGAGCCTCAAGTACAATGGTAGGGTCATGGGAGATTGAGAACAGGTTCAGGGTTCTTTCATGCTTTAAGCAAAGCAACTAGAATGTCATCTGTTCTATGTGCTGTTCTACTTCAGATGGTCTCCAATGCTGTATAAATATGTACTTCCAAGAATGAATAGCTTTAAGCAGACATAATTTTTGATATAGTTGTGTTTTTGTCTTTCACCTCCTACTCCACCAAAATCTATGACAAAAATGACACAATATTTTAGGATGGCAATAAATCTGTTTTCAGAATAACTAAGTTTTACATATTTTTTCACAATTTTTTGTGAAAGTAAAAATTCTAAATTCATAGATAAATTAGATACAGTCTAAGAGAGAATTAGTAAGCTTGAATGTAACATCGGTACCTGACCACATCGCTACCTCAGATCCCATTTAGGTCTCATCAGTTGTCCCAATAATACTTTTCTCCACAAACTAGTCCAGAATCATGTTAGTTTTCTATTATTGATTGTTGTGTGTGTGTGTGTGTGTATATATATATGTATATATATTATACATATATAAAATAATGTTTTCATATGTAGCAAATACTAATGTAAATGAGAGTGGTAGTGATGGAACATAATTTTGGCAACTTACTCTCAAATTGTTGAGGGGATAACAGTTAATTATAGAGTCATTGCAATTTTTCTATAAATCGGAGATTTTTTCAAAAATAAAAATATTACTGTAAAAATTTTAAAATATTACTGTAAGATATTTTCATAAAACTATTCAACAAAATCAGACATACTGAGTTTCAGAAAACTAATAAAACTGTTTATATTCATTTTGTCAGAAGATACATTTTATGATTGCAATACAATGCAAAGATAGTTTTTGCCTGATTGATCTGTTTGAAAACCAGAATCTGGAATCAAACAGTCAGATCAAATTAAGTAATTGAAAGACTACATGTAATAATATCGACATTTTTAATTTATCTCATACTTTAAATGTTAGGATTGTCTGAAAAAGAACTCATACTCAGTAATGAGAATAGTATTCTGTAAAATAATGGCTGCCAATTGATTGGTATTATACCTGTATTTCCATATTAGATATTCAACTTTTGTCACTTGTGGAATATCATCGTTGTTCTAAATTACTTAAATTCTCTTTGATTTTTCTAATACGTTTAAGCTGTTTCTCCATTTCACTACCCCTAAAAATTACATCAGGAGTTTGTATTTTATTTTGAGATACCTTACAGACTACAGTCTATTCCAGTGGGATATTTATTTGTTCGTAATAGTATGTAACTTATAATACAATTTTAATTGCCATTCATTTGATAATTTATAGTCATGTCTGTAAATATTCTAACAAATATCTCTGAAAAAAGACATTTCAAAACATAGTTTGAAAATAATTCTATATATTGGACTCATGAATTTGTGTATAATCTGATATAATAATAAAATGAATGTTGACTTTTATAGGGAGTAAAGAAAAATTCATCCTAATGAGTATTTGGGTTTAAATTTAATACTTTGCTCATGCTTAAAAATCCTTATTTACATTGAGATTACCATTTCTACTTAAAAACAAGGAGAAACAATTCAAGTTGACTAAAAAGTCAGCTAAAATCTACCTCTATTTATTGTTGCTTATTTGCTTAGCAAAACATTGGGAGTTTCAATTTTGTAATAGGATGAGAAATTTTAAGAAATCAACCATAGGTTTTTAGATATAGTTGTTTTTTGATATTTCTTCATTTTAGTTTTTAATGGGAGGAAGGGGTACCCATTGCAATCCACAGCCACCATGACTTAAATATAATCGACACTTTATATATATTAATTAATTGTGCACATTTGGTTCAGGGAAGACCTGGGAAGTTACTCATTCAGAAGTTCCTCATGCTCATCCTTCTCCCAGCTGAATTGAAGACAAATTAGGAAGAAAGAAACTTTGTCCTCTTTACAATGGAAAGTAAAACAGAAACAGACATGGTAAATTATAATGAGAGCTAGTTGAGTATGTGTAGCAAAATTAAGAATATTTTATACAATCTTCTCATTTAGGTAATGTGAAGATTTTAACATTTCCCTGTTGCCTATTCTCATTAGAAAAATGCCATTTTTCTAAAGAAGGGGAGGAAAATATGTTAGTAGAATATTTTAACTCATATCGTTAAATAGACAGGAAGGAAGGGTATGATATGGTAAAATGAGTGTTTTTAATTGTTTCATTAAATATTTAGGAATACTTTCTAGGGGAGAAATAACACTGCAGTAAAGATAATTTAAATCTACTTTCAAAAAAGCTGATTGATCTAAAATTGTTCAACTTAGAATTTAGAGGACACAATTACCTGAATATTTTTGTTACTAAAATTTTTTTTTCATCCTACTGTATTTAGATGGGAGTTATATAGGGTTATATTGAATAGGAATACTTTTATTTTTTAAAGTCTATTATTTTAACATTGGAATCAGGTAATAGACAACGCTTGTCCTTTCCCACTCTGTCTAAAATAACTCTGCTGGCACCAGTAAAGTGCTGTCACCTTACCTGCTTTATTTCCCATTATGGCATGTTTCATTACTAAATATATATTTGTTTATTGTGTATTTTTCCACTATAATATAAGCTCCCTTAGGACAGAAACTTTGCCTTACTTGTTTAACCGAGAGCTGAGTTGTGATGAAAGCAGCAGCACATGATGTATATATAGTACAGACAAAGTCAATTCCTGTTACCTGAAAGAGAGATCAGTATTTAACGGACTCCATTTCACAAATAGACTTGATTAACTAGCAGCGTATTCAGCAAGCAGGAAAAGAAAGCACTGAACAAATTGTATAGATAAGGACTCTTAGGCCAAAAAGGACCTGAAAGGATCTTAATTTTCTTTCTAGTTCACAGGTGGTTGGGAAGATGAATTCCGCACATGCCTCAAAACTCTCAATTAGGACTCCTGCATAAAAGGAGGTCTCTCTATAAGTTGATCTTTTTCTTTGCGTCTCATGGTGTTTTCCTCAAATTCTGCTTTATTCTGCCTCTTTCACTTACTGTCTGAAAACTGTAACTTTGGTTTTCATCTCACAGGAATTACAAATGTTATTCCCTCTTCCTGACTGCTTTCCCCCTCTGCCGAGTACCTAGATAGGCATGCCTTTCTTTGTGGAGGAGATATTCCTGTTGAACACAGCGCGCACACACACGCACACACACACACACACACGCAGGCGTTGCAAAAACAGTCATTTTATTGAAATTGCATATGGCATTTTATGATTTAGAAATAACAGTGAGTCTTCTTCATATATAATGTGCCTAATATTTTTTTCATATATATAACTTTTCTTATAGATCACTCCGGTGCCTGGTACTCACCCACTTTTAGTTTTTGTGAACCCCAAAAGTGGTGGGAAACAAGGAGAACGGTATGTTTTTAAATTAATTTTAGTGTCTATGTCACTTATGTGTAAAAAAATAAAACTATGACGTAAAAATCCTTAAAAACAACTATTCCTCACTGTTTACTAATTTTAATGCAAAATAAATGGTGCTAGCATGTAAGATGTTTATGTGATCTGGTTTTTAGGATTAAAATTTTAACACAGTGGCCTGTTGTAAATATTTTTATTATCATAGCTCAGGTGTCTGAATTCCGTCTACCCCACCTATCACCCTGTTCCCCTAACAAAGAGCATGCCTTCATAAATACAGTTGAATGAAAATTCATTGTCTAAATGGTAAACAAGATAAATTCAGGTAAATCATAACCCAGTACTAAAAAACAGAATTTATATCCAACTTCTAGGCAAAATATATTATAATAATTTTTCTGCATGTGCATTTTGGAGAACATGATGCCATATTTCCTGAAGTACAATATATTTAATCTGAATAACAGTGAGCTGTATTATCAGGTATTTCAGCATTCTGGCTAATCACATTTCAATTTGGTAACAAATCAATGATTAAATCATATTATTTAATACAAATATGAAAACAACTACATTGAAGTGTTAATCTTATGTCTTACTACAGAGGACAGTCATAAACAAAAATACAGCCATCCCTGCCTTAATGCTTTTTAGATGGCTTTCCTTATCTCAACCAAAAATAAGCAAGCAGATGAAAGCACCCATAACAAACATGACAAGAGTACAACAAATTTCCTTTGTGGTCCACCAAATAGCGAAGTTGACGTTTTTCCATAAATATAGTAATTTTTTCCACTCTTTAACTTTTCAGGTTTCTTTCCATAAATGAGGAATGTTTTTCATTATTGAATCATCAACAAAACATTTTTGCTTTAAAGAGTATAAGATTTTCAAGATGAAATTTGGGTGGAAAAAAAAGATTAAAAAAAGGGTATAAGATTTTTTTTCTTTTCATCAACATCTAGTTATGTTTTACTCCTCTAAACATGATAGAAATTATTTCAAATTAGTAACGGTTAATAATTAAAAATATTCACAATGCTTTAATTAGTTTTACTCATAAAATAATTACATAATAATGCTGAAATTACTTTTTTACTACTTACAGTTCATCAGCTGTATATTCTATTGATAACTTGAGCAAAAAAAGGAAACTTTTCACAAAAAATTAGATGAGACTTAAATCCATGTTGGAAATTACAGAAAAGTGAAGTCTGAAGAAAAAAAAATAATATTTTCAAAGGAAAGTAATTTTTTTCTCAAATTAAGATAGTATGAATCATATAGAATGACCCTTAGTTGAATATTTGCTGTCCCTTTCTGCCAGTACATAGAAATGATTTTCCCTAAATTAAAATATATATCTACAGGTAGGTAGATACACTAAAGACTTAAAGAAATTAAACTTACCAGGGGCTTCAACTTTGAGCTCTTCTATATACACATCCACTTGTGTTTTACTTTTTGTACATTGATTGGGACCATGCAAAGACAAATGTAATGTAAATATGTTTTCAACATGATCTACTTGAATGTAAACATACATTTTTCTGCCTGCGTAAGAGATACCTTTCACAAGGTGATTCCATTCAGTGTTTTTCTTTCCTTTTATTTTTTTGGCTTTTTTACTTTGATAGCTTAGATAAGTTGCAAAAGGTTACAGAATTATAGCTCTGCATAAAGTTTTCCATATCAGTCAATAAGTCTGAACATGTTCACGTGTATTCAGGCAGCAACGCCAAATTGAATCCAAACTGCTAGTGACTGGGAATAAGAGGCATAAGACACAGTCACGCAGGCAGGCACATAAACAGATGTATTGCAATACCACATACTACAGGTTAAACTGGAAAGGTTTAAAATAAAAGTGCTGTTGATGGTCACAGAAGGAGATAACTATCTCTGAAAACTAAGAAGTCTTTACAGAAGAAGTAGCTTTTGTATTGGTTCTTATATAATAGATGTTTGTCAGATGAAAGAAGGAGAAAGACAGATTTGTGAAATGGCATCGTGTCAACCAAGAGGAATTTACCAAGATAACAATGTAAAGAGAAAGAGGGGAAAGATAAGAGAGAAATTGTGGCTGAATTGTGAAGATGTCTGAATTTTTTTTTTTTTCTTGTTATGGAGTTTTGCTCTTGTTACCCAGGCTGAAGTGCAATGGCGCGATCTCGGCTCACCGCAACCTCCGTCTCCTGGGTTCAGGCAATTCTCCTGTCTCAGCCTCCTGAGTAGCTGGGACTACAGGCGCGCGCCACCATGCCCAGCTAATTTTTTGTATTTTTAGTAGAGACGGGGTTTCACCTTATTGACCAGGATGGTCTCGATCTCTTGACCTCGTGATCCACCTGCCTCGGCCTCCCAAAGTGCTGGGATTACAGGCTTGAGCCACCGTGCCCAGCCAAAGATGTCTGAATTTGATTTTTTATGTAAGTCTCAATAACTTGACACTAACAGCAACTTTGCATCATGGATAAGGCATGACTGTACTTTGACAACAGTATAGAGGAGGACTGGGTTGCCAAGTATTTTACAAAACTAGTGAGAGAACTTGAAGACCTTAACTAAGGCAGTAGGATGGAATAGCCAGATTTGATAAGCATTTTTAAAAATTCTGTTGTGAAGGCCAATGGCAAAAAGGGTGTTTCTAGGTTTTCTTTTAGGAAGGCACAGAATTCTCTACTAATATGTTCAGGTGCTAAGGAAAAGAGGGTATTGAGAACAACTCTAGGTGATATAAGCAGATACTACATAGTGAATTTGGAGAGTTCTATCAGTAAATATCATAAGAATGTGTTTGTAAAATATATAATCATATTTCACACCAATTTAGCAACTTAAACATATCCCTTAACTTTTAAAAATATTTTTAATTTCAACTTTTATTTTAGATACAGTAAGTACATGTGCAGGTTTGTTACATGGGTATATTGTGCTCAGGTAGTGAACATAGTACCCAATGGGGAGTTTTTGCACATCTTCCTCCACTCCTTCCTTCCCCACTCTGGTAGTCCCCATGTCTACTGTTCTCATGTTTATGTCTGTGTGTGCTCAATGTTTAGCTGCTGCTTAACATTGCATGCAGTATATGCAGCATTTGGTTTTCTGTTCTGTGTTAATTCACTTCAGAAAATGGCCTCCATCTCCATCCCTATTGCTGCAAAGGATGTGATTTCATTCTTTTGTAGTGCCTGTGTAGTACTCCATGCTATATATATACTGCATTTTCTTTATCCAGTCCACTATTGATGGATACCTAGGTTGATTCCATGTCTTTGCTTTTGCAAATAGAGTGGGCATGAAAATAAAAGAGCATGTATCTTTTTGGTATATAGTATGTTTTCCTTCAAGTTTACACCCAGTAATGGGATTGCTGGATTGAATGGTAGATCTGTTTGAAGTTCTTAAAGAAACATAAAAACTATTTTCTATGATGGCTTAACTAATTTACATTCACAACAACAGTGTGTAGGGATTTCATTTTCTTTGTAGCCTTGCCAGCATCCACTGGTTTTTCACTTTTTTATAATGGCCATTCTAATTGATGTGAGATGGTATTTTATTGTGGTTTTAATTTGTATTTCTATGATGATTAGTGATGATGAGCAAGTTTTCGTATGTTTGTTAGTTTGCTGCTTGCATGTCTTCTAAGAATTGTCTTTTCATGTATTTTGCCCATTTTGAATGGCATTATTTGTTGATGTTTTTATCTCTTTAAGTTGCTTATAGATTCTGGATATTACACCTTTGTTAGATGCTTAGTTTGCAAATATTTTCTCCCATTCTACAGGTTGTCTCTTTACTCTGTTGATGGTTTCTTTTGCTGTGCAGAAGCTCTGTAGTTTAACTGTCAATTTCTATTTCTGTTGCAATTTGAGGACTTAATAAAAGATGTGTTGCGAAGGCCAATGTCAAGTGGAGTATTTCCTGGGTTTTCTTTTAGAAATGTAGTTTGGGATCTCACATAGCCTTGCTTTGGCTATTCAGGCTATTTTTTAGTTACACATTAATTTTAGAAGAGTTTTTTCTAAGTCTTTGAAAAATGACATTGGTAGTCTCATAAAAATAGTGTTAACTCTGTAAATTACTTTGGGCAGAATAGCCATTTCAGCAATAGTGATTCTTCCATGAGCTTGGAATGTTTTTTTCATTTATTTGTATCATGTCTGATTTCTTTCAGCAGTGCTTTATAGTTCTCTTATAGAGCTGTCTCACCTCCTCGTTTAGTTGTATTCCTAGGTATTTCACTTTTTGTTTGTGTTGCTATTATAAATGATATTGTATAATTGGCTTCACTCTGCCTGGATGTTATTGAAATGCTATGAATTTTTATACATTTATTTTGTTTCTTTTTTCTTTTCTTTTTTTTTTTTGAGACGGAGTTTCGCTCTTGTTGCCCAGGCTGGAGTGCAATGGCGCAATCTCGGCTCACCGCAACCTCCGCCTCCTGGGCTCAGGCAATTCTCCTGCCTCAGCCTCCTGAGTAGCTGGGATTACAGGCACGTGCCACCATGCCCAGCTAATTTTTTGTGTTTTTAGTAGAGACGGGGTTTCACCATGTTGACCAGGATGGTCTCGATCTCTTGACCTCGTGATCCACCCGCCTCGGCCTCCCAAAGTGCTGGGATTACAGGCTGAGCCACCGCGCCCGGCTCGAAATGCTATGAATTTTTATACATTTATTTTGTTTCTTAAAACCTTGCTAAATTATCAGTGCTAGCAGACTTTTGGTGGAATCTTGAGGGTTTTCTGAGTATAGATTCACTGTCAGTGAAAAGAGAGAGCTTGACTTATTTTCTTATTTGGATACCTTTCATTTCTTTCTCTTGTCTAATTGCTCGGGCTAGCACTTCCAGAAGTATGTTGAACAGGAGTAGTGAGAATGGGCATGTGTCGTTCCAGTTCTCAATGGGAATGCTTCCAGCTTTTGCCTGTTTGGTATGCTGTTAGCTGTGGGTTTGTCATAGGTGGCTTTTATGATTCTGAGCTATGTTCCTTTGATGCCTAGTCCGTTGAGGATTTCTTTTTTATGAAAGGATTTGTGTTTTATTAAATGCTTTTTCTACATCTATTGAAATAATTATATGGATTTTGCTTTTAATTCTGTTTATGTGATGATTCATATTTATTGATGTGTGTAGGTTGAACCAACTTTTTATCCTAGGAATAATGACTAACTGTGTTAAATTAACTTTTTGATGTACTGTTATCTCTTCACTTTTACTGTTTGTCTAAGAATTTAAACCATGTGAGATAGGTGCATGCATAGAAACATTTCTATTGCATTTATTTACAGAAATTGTTTTCTTTCAGAAAAAAATAATTTTTAATATGTGCTGCTAAGACAGTTTAGCAATTTTGTGAGATGACTGATAAAGATTTACTTATATGAAATGATTAGGCCAGATGAGGCTACATTCTTTGCTTTTATGAACAAATGTACAATGTACAGTCCCATTTTATGTAGGGGATAGATAATTTTCAGATCTATTAGAGATCTATGGATAGATGAATTATCCACAAAAATTTATTGAGAGAAGATATTTAAGCAATTTTATGCTGAAATGTTTAAAATGTGTAATTTATTTCAAATCTAGTTAGCTAAATAATGTTCAAAAGAGGGTTAGAGGATATTCTAAACATATATACATATTAAGGATGCAAGCAATATTGCTAACTTATGAACTATATTACCTTTATAGTAGCTACTAGGTCTTTTAAAAAACCAGTAGTTCCTATGGAGCTGGACTTCTGATATTCAGATTCAAATTTTATTAAATTGATAGATATTATGTATTAATTTATATCATTAATTTCAACTATATATATTTTATAACACTGAGACACATTACTTCTTTTAAAAGTGTTGAGTAGTATTAAATTTTCTTTTTTTCCCACATTTTCACCTTTACAGAATTTACAGAAAATTCCAGTATCTACTAAATCCTCGTCAGGTTTACAGTCTTGCTGGAAATGGACCAATGCCAGGGTAAGTCCAGGGATAATATTATTGCCATCACCTCAATTCATGTTAATTAATTAAATAAGCTGCCTGACATATCTAGAAATAATGTTATTTGAATACAGCAGGATATTAGTACATAAAAATGTAATATCAACTACCTAAGAGAAACCAGTGCAAATACTGGTTTTCCAAATAGCCCATTTCTAGCAGATTTTTCTTCCTTCTAAAGATTGCAAAGTAATGCTCCTTATTATACTAATAATGTTAGTAATCACACACAAACACACACATACACAGACAAAATAGCTGAATGAATGCCGATTTGAACACTGCCAACCCGTGAAGAACCACTTTCTTTTATTGTACTTCTTCTATTTAAAATATCTGCTAAAAAGTAGAGAGAAAGCTAGTTAGCATATTTATGCCTAGTGTTCCATTACTGGAACACTAACCATCTGAATGTTATTTATATTCTACTGCTCAAGGTTGTTGCCAACGTCTGCCTGATTTTTAAATTCAAATGAAACTCAAAAAATTGTAATCTCCAGCATAAATGAGTTAATGAAAAAAAGCATATGATTTTATTTACTACTTACAAAATCTAGCCAATATCACTCTCTTAGAACATACTTTGTTATTAACAGGTAAGATGTAGTAAAATAAGATATATATTTTTTAACACAAACTGTATACTTTTGATGTCACCAATATACACCTAAACAAATCACCATCGACTTGATCTAGTTAAATAATTAATGTCATTTTCTTTCATTGACCTCTTTTCTTTCTGTCAATATGAGAGTAAACATTAGACCACATGAAGTGAGCAAAAGGTCTATAAGCTTTATGCTTCTTTTTTTTAAAAGCAGTTAATTAAAAATAAGTCTCATAGCTCATTCTCAGGAACAAGAAACCAAATATTGTAATTGCACTCTTTTAAAAACTCAGAATAAAATGTGTACCATAGCATCTTATACAAAAATAGGTTCATTAAGTTTAGTTAATCAGCATAGTCTCCCGGCATTATATTTAGCTCTTTCTTCTACTGCCTTGCTGCCTGCTCTTTGGGATCAGTTTCCCAATGCTGAGCAGTAATCTGCAGAACCTCCTTCTTAAAGATGATGGGCTCACCACAGGAATTTGATTGAGAACAATGTCTTTGTAAAGCTCCACTCTCCAGAATCTAGAGGATCATGATCAGACTGTTGGCTAAGTGAGCTAGCTATATGTTGGAAGTCCCCAGGTAGATAAAGCCAAGCAAAAGTAAAGTATTGTAAACTCAGAAGCTCAGTCAAGATGGCTCTTTTTCTTGTCCTTTAATATTCTCTGGAAATAAAAGAAGTGGATCTTCTGTAGAATTAGGATATTGTGCATTCAAAACTGTTGCTATTCCAAGACTCCTGTAAGTTGACTCAAACCAAGGAAATCCAGGATTTTCCTATATTTCATAGTTAAACAAGAGGTCATTTGGCTCTGCTAATTATAAGCCTTATAGTTTAACCGCTGTGTGGCTTCATTATCTTACCTATAAGGATTTGTGCCTGCCTCATTGGATAGTTATGAAGTTAAATGGAATAATACCTATAAAGCAAATAACAGTGTGCTTACTGCATAGCATGTCCTCAATGAATGTACTTTTATCTATATTTTTTGTAGGAATATGAATTAATAATTAATAAAACATGACTCTTTTGTAGCTCTGTGTAAATATATGGGAATCAATTTAATTTTAGCCCTGTTCTCTCATTTCACTTTCTTCCTACCACAGTTTAAATATGTACTACATGTTTCCTTCTACTCTTTCGGTTCTAGGCATCCTATTATTCTCTGCTCTATCTTAACATATTTAAAAAATGAAAGTAATATATGTAACTGTCAAAAGTCTACACTACAATTAATATTATTTACAAAATTTTAAGGGTCTCACTTTAAGCACTACTACGCCTTACGCCTAAGAAATTATTATTGTGATTGTTTGGGTATATTGTCCCAAACAATCTAATAAACACATATAAATGAACATATCCCTCTCTGTCTCTCTCTAACATTTGTACACACACATATATATATGTTGGATATATAGGTAGGTAGTTTTTTATGTAACAGAGTATAGATTTTATATGCCTTGCAACTTGCTGTCTATACTCTAAAGCAGGTGTTACACACTGTTCCATTTCAGTAGATATTGATCAGTTTCGTTTTTTCTAACTGCTGCATGATACTCCATAATTATGTCAGCCATCTCATTACTGGTGAATATTTAGATTGCCTGTGTTTTACAGTTATTATCAATTATGCCACATGAATATCTATCATTTTGTCTGCATATTCTTGAAAGTATGTTCAAATATTTTCATGAAATCACTGGCTCTGGGTAGGATTGTCTGGCTGAAAATATTTAATGTCAAAAGTTGGTTTTAAAAAATGAATTTAAATAGAATTGTGTTGAACTTTTAGTTTCATCTTGATCACCATGAGAATGCCCTGTTTGCCTCTGATATCAATACCCACACTGCATCCCTAGTGTCAGACACACTTCTGTTAGAGAGCTAGTCTTTGTTTATCCCCAAGGCAAATGCTACAGGTAGTTGCTCAGAATGGGGACTCTGGCCAGGCTATGATGTGGCCCTTTCTCTGAACCCAGTGACTGATCTGCTCACGTGTAAACCCTCCCTGTTCTGCTTCTAGCTGTACTGCCCCTGATCATGCTAAGATTGTCCTATTGCAGTAATTCCTTTTTAATGTAGTGCTTTAGAAGTTGCTGTATTTCATAAGGTCTCCCTATGACTCTGATACCCTTGGTGATTTATACATTTTAGTTTTATCACCATTTCTGGTTTATTACTTTAGCAATTCTAACAATAGATTTTTGAATACATACTTTTGAAAGTGTAGTATGCATTTCATCTGCCACTTTGAACCTGTAGTTATTCATTGTTCCAAATTCTTTTTTAAAAACGTTTCCTCTTTACTACACCAGATTGATGTATTCTTTTGGTACACAACTCTTCTGTCATCTCAACTTTATTTTTTTCAAGAACTTCGTTTGTAAGAGGAAATAACTTTCTTGATGCACTAAAACTATTCCTAATGTAAATTAACTGGCAAATACTAAAACTCACTGGGCATTTCATTTTTTTTTCTTTAATTATTTTTAAAACAGAAAGTGTATGTATGTGTCTCCGTTCTGTCTTCTTATATAAATTATCCCTCCCCGATTCTGACTATTCTGTTTCAAGATGTCGGAAACAATAGTCTGTTTCAAATAAGTTGTTTTCTTCCTGATGGAACATATTGTGATATAACTGAGTAAATTATTTGGAGATATAGCTTAGTTAGAAAAGATGAAATACAAAATATAAATTACTCCTGGGTTTTACATAATGATATGCTTTCCTTCACTACATTAAAATAAGTATGTATATCTCTAGCTGTACACCAACTTCACATGTTAATGTGACTTATGAAAATTTCACATCAAGTTTTTTATATACTTGTGACATTACTTTTCCCCTTCTGACTCTAATATTCATGAAAATACAGATGGTTTATTTTCACATTATTTCTTAAATTTTAATTCAGAAGTAGGAAGTGTTTATTGAACTTAAATAAAATACAAGATATCTTTAAAATATGTAAATTATTTTCAGACTGATCAGCGTAATTAAGAATAATAAATTGTTTGTGAGAAAGCTGTTGTTAAAAATCTTTGCTTTCATCTACCTGAACTAAATGCAAATCACACATAATTTTAAAAATATAATGCAATAGTCAACCTACAGATTCACATATTTCAAATATCATGCATATTTCTATAGTGAAACTTTGGAGAATATATTCTCCTCTTAAAATAAATGTGTAATTTAGAAAATGTGTAACAGATTCCACAGATTTCATTACCTTCTTAATTTAAAATATCATTTTATATAACCAAATTTCTACCATATTTTATTTAAGTAAAATTTCTCTTTAATCCGAGCTTATGACCTTTTACGTATGCCTCTTGTTACCTAATTACAACACATAAATGAACAGAATCCTCAAAAGGCTATGTTCATCAAAATTTAGTTGAGCTCTATTGCAAATTTCAAAAATAAGAAAATTTTCTTACTAATGTAAAAGTGTAGCATTTAATTCTCTCCTTCTTATGATTATTCATAAAATAAAATGCAGATGATTCTCCAAGCTCTCCCCCAGTTGAACGTGTAAGCATAATTCTGACTCTGGCTTGGCCACTGGAGTGATAGAGTTTGAAAACTGATTTATGTTTCTAAATTAAAGACCTACAGAGTGATAAAAGTACATACATTTGTTACCACAATTAATAAAGTCACATAATTGCTTGCCTCTCCCAAAAATTCCCCCATTTGGATCATTGTAGGTCTGTAGTCACTTTTTACATGCATCCACAAATATCCTATGATTTTAAAGATGTGGAAAAGGAGTTTTATTACTCATCTCACAAACAAAGGCTAAATGGCAATTAGACTAGAGATCTGTGTGTCACTGTTTAAAGATTATTGCCTATCAAAATTGTTGAAACCTTCTAAAGAAAAAAAAACCCATTCTGAATTGGCCATTTGAAATGACCAGTTCATATTTGCGTATGTGCTTTAATATGTGTTTTATTCTGTTCTGGCTGCTATAACAAAATCCCTTAGACTGGCTCATTAAAAACAACACAAATTTATTTCTCTCAGTTCTGAAAGCTGGGAAGTCCAAGTCCAAGGGAGTAGGAGATTTGGTATCTGCTAATGGCTCACTTTTTGTTTCCAAGGTAGTGTTTTCTTGCTGCATCCTCTGGAGGGAATGAATGCTGAATCCCCACATGACAGAAGAGCAGAAAAACAGCTGGCTAGTTTCCTCAACCCCCTTTATGAAGGCACCAATCCCATTCGTAAGCAAAGAATCCTCATGACCTAATCACGTCCTTTGTACCCCGCCTCCTAATGCTATTGCATTGGGCAATGAGTTTAAGCATTAATTTTGGAGAGATACAAATGTTCAAACCATAGCATTCCAGA